TAACAGGTTACAGGTTTATGATGACAACAGTGCTGCAGCCATCCAAGAGGACCTCACTTCATTTGTACTTGTGGTCATCGGTCAGCAAAGCCAGGGGTGGAGGTCTCGAGAAGCAAACTGAAATAGCCTTCGAGGGAGCATTCCCAGTGTAGCACATGCTTGCACCTACCTAATGGGCCTTGTTTATGTCTTGGAGCTAAGCTATCCAAAGAAACTGAATTCGGACCATGTTTGTGAGTCTGTTAATGTTCAAGGTGCATTTGAAGGAAAGATGACTGTTAAGAAGTGAGAAACGTGACTCATGGAAAATATTTTGCACAATGTGAATTTATTTCAATAGAATTTATTTCAATAGAAAATTTTGCTTTATAAGAAGATCTGCTTCATTTCCACATTGGGATCATGTTTGTGTGCTTCTTGTTTTAAAGCCTTAGAGTATGTTACTGTTAAGGACTGAAAAACACAATTGTATAGAAAATATTCTGTGCAATTTTTACTATCAAATGGCAAAAATTTCAGCTTTATGTGATGTAATAACTAGATTTCCATATTTTATGAGTATATATTCTACTGGCATTCCATTGAAAAGTACCAGTGGTGAAATAGTAAATAGTTGTAAAAAAAAAAAAAAAGAACTAATTGCATTTATACTTTCAGTAGACATACTTGCTAATTAGAAAATTTGAGTACATGTAAGTTTAAAATACACTAACAAGTTTGGAAAAACAAATTAGATCCCACTTGAAATTTGTAATAGGGAAGTAAAAAAATTTAGTTGGATTCAATCAAAAAGACACATTTAGAACTCTTAAAGTTATGTAGATCACACACAAAAAAAATGACTAAAGAAATACTAAAATTAAGTGTACTTTATGTGCAAATTTTCTTTCAACAGACAGAAAAATTAAGTAGTTTGTACAAAGACTGGTCTTGTTTGATCTACGTAATAAAATTGTGCAAAAAAATTCATCATATTTTTTAAGTAAATCAAGCAGAATTTTTTTTATCAGTGAAGGAGCTGGTGCACACACCAGTCAAAATTAATATGCAACAAAGTAACATGCATATTATACAATTATGAAATATTAATGTCATCTTTAAAAAGAATAAGGCATCATCTTGTCACAAAGATCTGACACACTCATTTTAATCATGACATAAAAGCTTCAATTCATTTGTTCTAAGCTGTCAATGAAGCAGAAAAAGGTAGCATCTTAATATTGTTGATAGGTTTAGAGGCCTCTTCGGGATGTCTTGTCTACTGTATATAGGTGCAATATTATACAGAATGTGAGTTAGGGAATATTAATATTAATAATACCTTTTAAAGTGTGTGGGTGTTTTTTCAGTTGCTGTATGTCATGTGGTTTGTTGAAGATCAGTATTATTATAGTGAATATCATAAAATAAAAAAGATACACACAGAAACAACTGAGCCATTTACAAAATATTTCATTCATTTCAGCAATGTGAATACTAACAATGTGTAAAAGACAACAAATATTTTACTCTGAGTGTAATTACTTGTATATGGCAGAGGGGGGCACCCAAGGTAACAATTTAAAATGCCCAGCGGGTCCTGATAATACAAAGATCTTCCACATGGGGGCGTCACAGAGGTCACTGTCCACTAAGAGCAGCGAAACCACATAGTGATAATATGAGTACACATAATGTGTCTTATCATCTTTTAAACCCTAAATTAGGTGTCAGAAAACAGGGTGACTTTGGTTGACTGTTAGAGAAGAGTAAAATACTGCTTCAGTGTATTGATTAATTATTGAAGAGAAATATTATAGGACATTGGATTGGTATAACATTGGATACAGGATTTGTGGGTTATTGCAGACTGCTGCACATTATACTGTTAATATTCTAGGCTGAGTACACGTTAAGTGTCCTACATTTGATTGCAGTGCATTTTAGTGGATTTTCAAAAGCATTGCTCGAGGGAGGACAAAGACACTCATTTGTGGAGTGGGGCTGGACGCTGTTTAATTCAGTAAATAATGTGTGCTTTTGCTGTGAGGAAATGACCATTAACCCTGACACCAAAATTAAATGACCATTAAAATGTTATTAAATCTTGTTAAATTCTTTATAATTCTATAATTATATTCTAGCATTTTAGTCCTCTATTTTAATATCTGAAACTAAATTTAAATTCAAGAATGAGGCAGCAGCAACAATATCACAATGTACACAACAATAGTATATTAACAAAATATTCAGTGTGCCATGACTGTGGAATTATGGGTTATTATTATGGGGATGTATATATATATATATATATATATATAATGGTAATTAAAGCAGTATTTGGACAGTGATCCTTATTATTCATGTTGAGGTGGTAATTTTTTTTTTTTTATAAATGATGTGAAATTATTAATTGAACAGTGGAATTGTCCTGATTTGAGCACTTTTTTATATATTTAGAGGGGATAAAAAAAGTCTGACCAGGAATCAATCCCAAAATAATTTAATAATTAAATAATTTCAACACTTAAAAATGAGCTAAAATGAAAGAAAGAATGAATGAATGAATGAATTAATTAATTAATTAATGAACAAATTATGTTACTGTAATTTTCCCTTTAAACCACAACGAATCACAAATCATTCATATACAGTAAATAGGTTACAAAGCTTTTGTCTTGCGTTAATAAAAATAACAGCCCGGAGTAACAGGAGCAGATAGGAGGAGTTTGCGTTAGCTACATCATCATTAACCGCGTGACGTTGTCAATAACTCACAACGAGGAAAGTTAAATATTGAGAAGTGGGTAAGGTGAGCTGAAACTTAGTAACTATGAGGTCAATCACAGCTTCATTCCGACAGTAGCTACATATCCACTGGCAAGCCAGGTGAGAGGCGCCTTCCAGGAAAAAGCCAGATTCTCTAGCACAGCTGAATGGCTTATAATTTCAAAACTCTTGCCTGTAGTTTCCACTAAGGCTTTTCGTTGCTTGCGCATTGGAACATATCAAGTTTGCATATGATGAGCTGCGTCGGTTCATAAGAATTATAAATGTCCACTAAGACGGATAGAGACTCACAGGTAGAAGTGACCCACCTAGATTCCCTCAAAGCAGAATGGGCTGAAGACATTGACGTGGAGAGCGTTGACGGAAGGGAGGTGATGAGGACAGATGAAGCTCCAGCGCCCCGCGGACTCAGCCGCAACCCGAAGTGCGCTCGCTGCAGGAATCACGGCGTCGTGTCGCGCCTCAAGGGCCACAAGCGCCTGTGTCGCTGGCGTGACTGTCAGTGCGCGAACTGTCTGCTGGTCGTAGAGAGACAGAGAGTGATGGCAGCGCAAGTCGCCCTCCGGAGACAGCATGCCACGGAGGTTGGTTGACTGAGCAGGGTAGTTTAAAGCTTTCTGTGTGCTACAGTGGAACTAAAAACGGTGTTATTTGCAAACAAAGTGACATTGTATTGTTGAAGGATTTGAGCATGTGTGTACTTTCCTGTAGCAGACTTGGTACGTATTTTTATGAGACTTGGGTTGGTTTAAGCAGTACTGCAAATGATATATATATATATATATATATATATATATATATATATATACACACACACATATTTGAATTTTTACTGTATTTGTTAGAATTATATTGATACATGTAATTTAAATGTAAAGTTTGCTGTAATGTAAAGTTTGCAGTTCAAGCCTGCCACATTTATTAATGAAATCAGATTTTTGAAAACATGTTTTTGCTTATATATTAGGGCAAAATCATGTTACTGCAACAAAAAAAAAAATATATGTCTGTTACATAGTTAACTACCCTTAAAAGAAGTACTGTGGCAATATCATGATACAGGACTGGAATCAGATGGTTATAACATGATACTTTTGTATATAAAACAATACTGATTGCTACCATATTCATGTATATTGGTATTTAAAAAGTACTCCAATACATCTCAAAGAATACCATGGTACTACAATGGTGCATCCGCTTGATTCCCTTCAAATTTATATATTTCTATAAACAAAAATGCTTTACAGTCATTATTAATTATGACTATTGTCATAATTAATGCTTTACTATTATTTCAATGATAAACATCTTCATCACAAAATTCCTGAGAGCAAACAACATAAATTAATTGCATTTTAAGTAGTCTAGTTAGACATTCAAAGCTGTGTGATGCACTAGATATTGTTAAGAAAAAGGACACTGTTTATGAAAAACAAGACATCCATTGGCATCATTGTAGAGTGAGTATCTTATATCTATCCCATAAATTAATGCTGAGTTATGCATTCTCTTTAACAGGGTAAAAAAGGTCAAAAAAACACCTCTGTTCTCAGGCGCACAGCTTATCAGCGCTACACGAGGGCACCTAGTCTCCTGGCAAAGAGTATTCTAGAGGGTAAGCCTTAGTTAATGCACATCTCATTAACACGATTGCACCCTGAAAGGCAACATCGGGAGAAACTGGATTAGTTCACCCGTTATGCTAAAGAACCCTCTGTCGGGAATAAATATGTTTGTGTTTATGTAAGGTAATTAAAATTATGCAAATTGATAGAGGAATTACAAAAAAGAAATTGGCTCATATGACTACTTTGGAGTTTGATTTTCCCTGATGCGTTTCTCACTGTGTCAACATTAAGGTCAAACTGATTTAATTGTTATCATAAATTTGAATATGCTTAATTTGTTTTTGTACCATTAGAATATTTAAAACTGTTATACTTTTATGAGTTCCACATGGAGTCTAAGAAATGTATTTTTTAATTCTTCTGAAATTAGGTGAAAATGATTTGTGCAGCTAATTTTACAGTACTTAAGAAATGCATTTAAAAGTGGTGCTCAAATGTGGGTCATGACCTAAAAATGGTCCACATGTCTGTTTTGATTTGTCATGGTCAGCAGGAAAAACCATTAACAGATGCAAATAAAAAATGTAGCTAACCATATAATGATACATAAGACTGCAAACTATATAGGCTTGTCCATTTTTGAAAGAGACGACAAAGCACTTTGCATGCTTTCCATTTGTTGCTGACATCAAAAGCTCTGCTTTTCTTTCTAAAGAAAAACTGTAGGAAAAAGTGACAGTAAAGACATTTACACTGTGACAAAAGATTTATATTTCAAATAAATGTTGTTCTTTTGAACTTTCTATTTATTAAAGAAGTCCTAAAAAATGTAGCACCATTTCTAGAGAAATATTAAGCAGCACATCTGTTTTCGACATTGACAATAATTATAAATGTTTCTTGAGCACCAAATCATCAGATTAGAATGATTTCTGAAGGATCATGTGACACTGAAGTTTAAAGTAATGGCTGCTGAAAATTCAGCTTTGCCATGATAGGAATAAATTACATTTAAAATATATGAAAGTAATAATATTTCACTATATTACTGTCTTACTGTATTTTCTTACTGTATTTTCAATCAAATAAATACAGCCTTAGCAAGCATAAGAGATTTCTTTAAAAAAAACATTAATAACTAAACAAAAGTTTTTTCTCTACTTGACTACTTGAATCCAAAGTATCTCAGTTTATAAGGTTTCTTTTATATGTGGAACAGTTTATTCTGGTAGACTCTTCTAATATTTTTACATTTAAATGTGACTTGATTATGAACAAGAAAAATCCACTATTTTAATACTCCTTCATTATGTTGTAGGCTACAAGCCACTTGTGCTGGAGGACTGGCCTAAGAGACTCCACCAACCCCCAGTCAGTGTTCGTATGAGGAAGAGGAGAGCGTTTGCTGATAAAGAGCTGGAGACTGTGATGCTGGAAAGAGAGCTGAGGCAAAGAGAGATGGAAGAGTTGCCTGCGCTCCTCCTCCAGGCTGTGGTGCCGTCCGCTCCCACTCCGTATTTTTTCCCGCTGTCAAACCCAGTCATGCCCACTTACATGCCTGTGTCCAAAAGCGGCCCTCCTTTGACTGACTGTGATCTCCCTCACCATCAACACATGCTTAAATCCAAGACTTTAGACTGCGGCACAGACAAACTGACAGACAGCGTCTCTCTAAGAGTGTGTGAGAATTGGGATCTTTTCAATTCGATTCGGCCTCCACCGCGCTGCTACAGCACAAGCCCAGGTGTCAACATGGTTAAAAACATGACGGACAGCGGGTTTTCTGATCAGTCTGTCAAACCAAAAAGTTTAGATATTGACACCATGTCAAAGCAAGACATTCCTCTCTCACTGAATATGGCAGACGTGCTGGTACAAGCTAAATCGCCCCACAAACGCTGCAGGTCATTGGGACACGAGGCCTCTGTACACATGGACTGTATGGAGGGTGCAAACAAAGACCCCATCAAAAAAGCTGTAACACGGCCATTACCTTTTTCTGTAGAGGCATTGCTCATGAGATAAGAATAATTTCTTCAAAGCTAACACTTTACAATAGGTTTCAGTTTGTTAACACGAGGTATTACATTAATTTACATTACATTAACAACCAATGTAATTTTTTACACTATTAATGTTGATATCTACATACACTAATACATTTTTAACATTTCAAGTTATATATTAACATTACCTACTGTATTATGAATAAACGTTATGAATTAACAATGAACGATAGCATATTTATAAAGTAACATCAATATAGATTATTAAATGCTGTTAAAAAGCTAATTGTTAGTTCATGATACCTAATGAATTAAGTGATGTTAACAAATTAAACTTTTTGTAAAATGTGACCTTTTTAATTTATATTCGACTGAAACAGTGTTGGGGAGCATCTAGCTATAATTTATCTAGATTTACAGTGGCATTTAAGCAGCTGAGCTTTTTAAAAATAATAATAATAATGTAACAGTGTAGCGTGACAAAATGCTACATAACTCTTTTTTGTCACATTAATGCTATGCACGCAGTCAAGCAAGCAGAGGAAATAATCAAACACTTTCTTAAACTGTTCTCTCTCTCTCAAGTAGTGTTGAGAAATACGATTTATTTGAGTGAATCGGTTCAATTGAACCATTCATGTAAATGAACCTGTTCATAAACAACTAACCAGTTCATTTGTCCTTGTGCACAAGTGTCTGTGTTCATCATTATGTTTGCTATTCAGTTATATAAATATGATATTACTTTCAGTTTTTATAATGTTTTTAAAACATTACTTTTAGGTTTAAGGAATCAAAAGATTCAAGTTGTTGGGATGAATCAAAAACCCTCTACTAATAAGCTTTTCTATATAAATAAAAATATACATATCCTTCCCCAACACTGCACTGAAAATTTAAATAATCAGTAACTTTCCTGTTTAATAAAACACTTTTGATTAGAGCACATTTGATTCATTCATAAAGTTGTTCAAATTATTTTTTTTATAATCCTGTTTAAATCAATTATATGAAATTGTTAAATTACGTAGTATAGAATATACATGCATCTTACTAACCTTTATACTTTATACCTTCTTTTTCCAGTTCTCTATTTCACAATATTTGATTGATTTATTTATTTTTTCTGTTTAAAAAACATTGTGATTCTTCTTTCTTGTAAATGTAAATAGTCATGACTATCCCTATTTTGTAAATTATTCACATTTTAAAATTCCAAATATGAAAGTCTGATGTAAATGCATAGGTAGCTGAGGATCAAATAAAAGTGGTGGAAAAAAAGATTAGTTTCTCTCTCTCTTCCTTTAATGTGAATTAGTGATGTAATACATGCATCTTACTAACCTTTATACTTTATACCTTCTTTTTCCAGTTCTCTATTTCACAATATTTGATTGATTTATTTATTTTTTCTGTTTAAAAAACATTGTGATTTTTCTTTCTTGTAAATGTAAATAGTCATGACTATCCCTATTTTGTAAATTATTCACATTTTAAAATTCCAAATATGAAAGTCTGATGTAAATGCATAGGTAGCTGAGGATCAAATAAAAGAGTGGTGGAAAAAAAGATTAGTTTTTCTCTCTCTTCCTTTAATGTGAATTAGTGATGTAGCTCATATGGTGGTTGGATTGAAGTGATGCCTGGTACATCTGTGTATTTAAGCTAGGCTCCCCACAAAGGTGCTTTGAACTGTTTCTGCGGTGTTCATAAAATATTTTTAATTTTAAAGAAAACTAACGATGAAAAGGGCTCTCAGACAGGAACCAACTCAAAATGTAAAACTAAACGGGTGAGGAGAAAGACACATGTGCCTGAGGGTTCAGAGGCAAGAAACAATTCTAATATGAGCTCAGGAGGATAAATTATTCAGTATGTGTTCTCCCTTTTCTTTCTACATCTTAATCAGGATTCAGGAAGTTCATACAAGTCCTCTTATTCCTGTCAGTACTATGTAGGCAAGTGAATGTGTTGGCTCAGCAACATTGTGCAATATTTTTGGGAGTGTATCACAACAATGTATATCCTCCCTTTTCTTTCTACATCTTAATCAGGATTCAGGAAGTTCATACAAGTCCTCTTATTCCTGTCAGTACTAAGTGAATGTGTTGGCTCAGCAACATTGTGCAATATTTTGGGGAGTGTATCACAACAATGTATATTCTCTCTTTTCTATCCTTTCTTTATTTTCCATTTCAGTTTTTGAGATATGGCAGCCTGATAGTTTTGACAACTCTGGACCATGTGGCGTCAACATGTGTGATGGCATCATGCCCTCCTCTGTGTCTGTCTCTGTATCTCAGCACATCTGCCAGTGCAGATAGGGGTTTTACATTAGGAGCCTTCCTAAGGAACCATAGGCTGAGAGGGGAGATTTTTCAGTGGTGAGAAGAGTGCAGAAGAGCATTATTTTTAAATGATAATCATGAATCCTCAGTTACTTGAGGTCATAATAGTTGTGGAGAGTGCTTAATGCCATACAGTATTAAACTTTTTTTTTGTCACAAGATATATTTACTTTAATCATTTAAAATGTAGTTTAGTTGCTTAGTATATTCTTCATGCATCCCAATTTTCATACTACGTGTCACGTCCCAAATCATAATACACAAGATTATACACCACCACAAAAATGTGGGGTTGGTATGGTTTTTATTGTTTTGAAAGAAGTCTCTTATGCTCAGCAGGGCTGCATTTATTTGATCAAAAATGCACTAAAAACAGTAATATTGAGATTTTTTTTTATTACAATTTAAAATAACTATTTTCTGTTTTAATATATTTATAAAATATAATTTCTTCCTGTGATGGCAAAGCTGCATTTTCAGCAGACATGATCCTTCAGAAATCAGTCAGATTTGCTGATCTGGTGCTCAAGAAACATTTATTATTATCAATGTTAAAAGCAGTTGTGCTGCTTAATATTTTTGTAAAAACCGTGATATTTTTTTCAGGATTCTTCAGTGAGTCATGAACTTTGTCATTTATTTGAAATAGAAATCTTTTGTAACATTATAAATGTCTTTACTGTCACTTTTAATCAATGTAATACATCCTTGCTGAATAAAATTAATATCTTTTAAAAAAAAAAACTGACCCCAAACTTTTGAACTGTAGTGTATATTTTTATAGGGAAGTAGGTATAGGAGGGACAGGGAGGTTTTTGCCCAGAACAGAACCATACCGCCAAACCAAACTTTATGCTAAGTATCTATCATTTTGACGATAGTGGTCCTGACAGAAGTAGATATAGGAGCTAGGATACAGCATTTAACTGAATTAATTTAATTTGAATAACAAATAACTAAATATAGAAGAGTGCAGATTTTAATATGTATTATATAATGAAATAAACTACAATGTCTATTCCAAAATCTGGGGTGTACGCACGCGCACACACACACACACACACACACAGATACACCCCAGATACATGAACTTTTGGGCATGGCATTATAAAAAGGCATATATAAAATTATATGCTAGCATGCAAGCGTACAGTACTACATTACAGTTTACCAGTGGGCAAAATTGATATTCTAAGGCAGCACCCCTGAACCCCTTTCATTGTAAATTTATTTATTCCCACAGTCTGCTCTAGCATAAAGTCACCCTAACTTGTTTGTGTAATCGAGATATCAGCATATTCTTTCTCCTGACATGGTATCGACAACATTTAATATCAAGGTCCAAGGGGGCTGCTTTGATCCTAGTGCCAGCTCCCAACTCAAGCAGAATTTGCCAGATTGAGACCCTGCGCTTGGCATGCATAACCCTGAAAAACCCCTGCATACCCCGCTGCTCTTGGGTTACACGGCTCCCCTCTTCCTCCAAACAGGGGGTGTCTCTTTCAGTGTGGGTGGGCTGGCCCTCAGCCGCTCACCTGCTGTGTCCAATAAAAAACTCTCTTGTGTCATGTGTCTTTGGCCTTGGGATAAACAGACAGTTTCCACGAGGCACAAAACTTATACAGACTTGATTTCTAAGTATTTGTTGTGGGTAAAAGGCAGTGTCAAAAGGCTTACACACAGTTTTAATATAAAAGTGTCTAATATATTCTCTCAGTTTCTCTATAAAATATAGAGTAAGACATTGTTTCCAGCATGGAGGAATCCATTAATAATACACAAAATACTGAATATTTCAAGCCGTTCCAGCTTGTGAAAATCTGTTTTGCTTTTTCTCAGGTAGTTGTGGTCACAAATGCAGAAATAACATATTTTCAAGAGGATCTTTTTACACTATTCTGACTGTTTAGGTGAAAGCAGAATCTCTCTAAACCAGTTACAAGTTGATTTGCAGAATAAGCGATCTGCCAGCAACACAATACAAACTGATTTATTAACAAGAAAATCTGAGCTCTCTTACAATCAAAATGTTGTCTCTGTAAATTCAAAAACCAATCTCTCAGCAAGTATATACAGTATATGTGCAGACATGGTTTTTTTTCAGAGCACAACTGTGGGATTGAAATTTTACACACTTAAAACATTACTGTTGGGTGAAAAGGGTCCCTACACTTCCATCATAGGAATCAGTTTTTTCTTGTCCCCTAAACTGGGGCTCTCGTTTTGTGGCGTTCTGGAGCCAAAGCAGAACCTGTGCTGACTGCAGCAGTTGTGTAGCTATACTGTTACATTCTCCTGGGCCGCCCAGTTCCTAAAATCCACCTTTCCAATTCAACACAAAGCACAGACTCTCTTAAATGTTAAACCGCCAGAGCCATTATTCTGCATGATTCAACATGCTCTGCCCATCAGCCTCCATTCAAACTCTCCAAACTCTTCATGTTCAAACAATTTCTCATTCATTGAGAAATGTGGAATCAGTGGAAGCAGAAATGAGAAATTCAAATTAACCACTGGAAGACTCTGAAAAAAAAAGGATTATGTAGCTAAAATTGGGTAAATGTTTGGTGACAAATCACTGCACCATTGTTTCTGTACTTCTTCATTGTTTCTGTCTTCTACTGGAACCAGTCCAAAGAACAGTTGTTCAAAGCTGTTCAAAATGTTACCAGATAATAATTTTTATTTAAAAAGAAAAAGAGGAAGAAAGATGCCATTTGATAATATTGCTGATATTAAAGTATGCCTAGAAAATAGTTCATTTCCACCCTTTTACAATGCCCCTTAATACAATATTGTAGCATTAAAACAACATTAGATTAATTTAAATGCATGTTTTTTA